CATTGAGAAAAAAGTTGTTTTAAATCAAGTAATATATTTCTTTTGGAACTCTTTTCTCTGTATTTATCTCTCTCTTCCCCTTCTTTCTTTCTTGTTTTAATAGAAAAAAGTAAAATACAAACTATAAATTAAAATGTAAAAATAGTTGTTTAAAAATTATATTCTTAAAAGTGTAATAAATATTCAAATTTAAAAAAATAGACACTTTGCACACGAGGAAATATCCACTGAATTAGCATTTGCTAAATAAATAGTTTTTTTTTTTTTTGAATAAAATAAAATGTTGTTTCAAGATAATTGTTTCCTCAGTGTAAGAAAAACCATCATTTGACATCGGCGACGTTGACTTTTACCGAGCATTTTTTTCAACTAACGTCTCATCTCCGTATTTGAATCTTCAAAGGTGATGTTACATTTTGCATTACATTTCACAAACGCGAAATCCATCCTTTTATTTCTGTACATCAAATAGACTTCTTTTTGGAAGCTTTTTCTCATAATGAAAAACTATTCATTGGAGGAAAACCTTAAAAAAAAAAAAAAAAAAAACCGTCTACGGAGAATTTAGCTGTGGAGTAAATCGTCTCGCTCGATAAGAACAAAGGAGAAGACAAGGAGGATATCCGAAGACTAACAATAAGTCGAACTTACTGGCGACGCGCGGTTTCGACTTTAAACCAACGATTGCTCCCTTCTTTATCCTCCTCTTTCTCCTCCGATTATTCTCTAGCGACGATCCGGAATTTTACGTTTACGACTGCGTTCGCTTTCGCTCACAGAAATCTGTTGCATTACGGGAAGGGTACAGCCCTGACTAGTATTTTACACACGGGGCGGAAAAGAAAGTCAGCCGCGGGGGAGAAAAGAGATAGGGAGAATAAAGGGGGACATGCAGGGTGGAGGGAGAGAAATACCGATAAACGAGTCTGCAAACGCGTAGGCTCCACGACCGAAGGAGCAGTCGTGTAACCAAAACGGAGGGAGAAGAAAGAGGACGAGAGAACCTGATCGCAGTAGTGTGACTCACTTGCCATAAAATGGGCCACCCCTCGCCCGGGCCCTCAGGCTCACCCCTCGGGTATCGCGGAGGGTTTGCATCGACGAAATCGACCCTTCTTCTTTCTACGCGCTTCTCCTTTTCTCTCCTCTTCTTTCTGTCAACTCGCGTTGTGGAACAATCGCTTTTCTCGCGGCGTCGCGCCGTTGGATTTTCTCGTCGACGTCGCCGTTGCGTGAAACGTGACGAACTGTGGCTCCGGAAAATTAGGTCATCGGTTTCCGGCGCCCGGCAATCGTTTTATAGGATCGCAGAATTTGGCGTTTAAATCAACAACGACGCTTTTGTCATTTTGTTCCCTTCACTTGAGCGAAGATAATGTTTTGCGAGAGATTTTCTTTATTCACGCGCGTATTTCTCAGCCGGTATTTTAGCGTAAGAAAACATTTACATATCTCGTACGAGAATGTGGAGAAACCCGTTATTAAGGATTATTAAGGAATATGTATTTAGAGAGAGAGAAAGAGAGAATCTCTCGACGAAAATCCTCGCGTGTGCGAGATCGATACGTGTTCGAAAACTCAACTTTCAAATTAACAATACAACTGACTTTCAAATCAACGCTATATTCTGTCTCCTTCTCTCTCCCTACGAGAGCTTCACAACAATTTTCTCTTTTCGCGGTTTCTGCATATTTCACACTCAAAACTCTTGAGAATATACTTTATCTCGTAAAGAATACTTTTGTTTGCAAAAGACCCTGTTATCAAGATAAGAATAAGGGATATTATATACGTGTGTTTTTCGAGGGCGGGTTGATGATGCCTCGCGTGCGACGAGCAAGGCCAAAAATGTGCATCACGTGCGGCAAAGTCCTGAGGCGGCATCGAGCGAGGGATATAACAAGGTTACGAAAGCGCGTCGTAATGAATGCCAACAAGTCCGGGAATATTGTTTCATCTTTCTCTCGCTCGCGAAACGGGCGGCACAGCCGAGTTTGCTCTCTTAATTTGTTTGTGGAACGCGATCTCTTTTTCTCGCTCCCGGGACCTTCTTTAACTCGGTGAATCTCACTTAAAAACGCATTTATATATATACGGGGCTAGAGATACAACGTCGCCGAGTCTTATGCATCGCGTGGCTCTTGTAGGTAAAAAAAAAAAAAAAATAAAAATAAAAAAAAATAAAAAAACTGTACAAATTGCATATGAATGCACGAGAGAAGCTGAATCGAGTGATCGCTATGAAACACGCGGCATTCGAAAACGCAATAAATTGCCGCTCGTTAACGAATCGATGTTGACCCCGCCCCGGGAGCGATAATTAACGACGGTAAAGGTAATTGTTATCGAGCGAGAATAGTGGTTAATTATAGATCGCATTCTCCCGTCCTGCAAAACAGACCGCCCTCGGATCGACGCGAATTTATCTCGTAACAATCACGCGCGCAATTCGTTAACAACGCGTACCGACCCGCATGCGGCAATTTCTCGGAAAGATCCAATCTCGTATTATCTCACGTGGTGAAACTAGATCGCCGACAATAAATCTTACTCGCGAAATTAAAGCGCGATGCTGTTTCGTGCGCACGTCTTAATTCAATTTTCTTCAGGCGAGTTCTCTCATTACGCGCAATCTGCTAAGGGAATACGTGAATAACGAACGTAATCGACGTGATTCTGAGTTCCGACGGAGGAATCACGCTGCGCTTCTGAATCTAGATACGCGCGATTTATGCAAGCAAAGTAGCTCGCGATAATAACACGCGTCATCGACGCTATTTAAACACAAAAAGTATTTTACACTAGGTATATTTTATGCTAGAGAAATAACAATCTCAAAAAAAAAAAAAAATAAATAAATAAAATAAAATGATAAATGCTTTTCGCGATATTGAAAATTACTCGTGTAGTATGTTTTTTTGAAGAAACAAGTCAATAGAGAAAAAGCGCGGCTGAAAATGGAAAGCTCCACGGAGTTCTTGTCTTTTACTTATATATGTATAGACAAATGGAGCTTTTGCGTGGTATATATACTGTGTGGGATGTTCATATAAACATTACATGCGTATAACACAGAAAAACCGTACAGACGTAATTTTATAGTCTACCTACTACCACGTCAGAAACGGCTGCGTACGGGTTGCAGAGTGGGCGGACGAAGCAAAATAGACTGTAATGTTTCGAGCGTAATAAAAAGCGCACCTAAGCTCCATCGAAAAGAAATAAAAGATAATGCCGGTTTCACATAGAAATAAGAGGAGAAAAGCGGGTATCGTGTTGGAAGAGGCAATATCGAGGCCTCTTCGGCGGTTGAAAAAGAAAAATAGAGGCAAAAACGTATCGAGATATCGATAACGACGAAAACGACGAACGAGGGAACAAAACCGGATAAAGCAACAACCTGAACGTACGCGACGGTTTCTAATTTAAGAGCTGATCGGAACAAAAAAATAACGCGCTCTTCCGGATTTTATAAACTTCAGCCTAGGAAGGACGAGAGATCATTTCTCGAATTGAATATCGCTACTTTTAGATGCGGGGGAAAAAAAAAATTAATATTTTTTTACTTTCGAACAATTCGACGAGAAACTATTTCTTCGGATCGTTTTAGCGTCTGGACGTGTTTTCGAGTCGAGTGAGAAAATAAAAAGAGTGAATGATAAAGTTACGCAGTTAAAACAGGCCTCGCGTCTACTCCGCGGGAGAGACGCTCGTTGTCGTAAATTATCGCCAACGTATTACTGGATGCGCGGCTCTATTACCGCGCCGATCGACCGACAGTTTGCGCGCCGAAGTTGGCGGAGCGCGCGGTACAAAAAGAAATAACCCACCGGTCTCTCGTTAAATCCCGCGAGAGTCAGCGCGAAAAGGAGAGAGAGACGGCTCTAATTAATTGAAGAAATAATTAAAACGTACGTGCCAACGGCAGGCGCGGTCTCGTCAACGAGGCTCTTTCCATTCCGCGCGCGATATCAGCCGCCGTTAATTGTGTAACCGCGCAAAGCTTAGCGCGCCGAATTCGCCAAGCGGAATTCATCTGTCCGCGGCGCGAAACACGGAACAATAGCGGGAATATGCTACACCGTATAATGATCGCGTTCGCGTGTGATTCAAGGAAAAAAATTTTAAATTACGACCGTAGTTACTGTGACATTTTGAAGTAAAAAAGCTATTTTAATATCAAAGTTCACTTTATGATAAAATAGACAAATTGAACTCTTTATAATCTAGTGTGTTATATATATATATATATATATATATATATTTTAGAGCTAGTCTACAATGAAGGTAGCAAGGCTGTAGGAGTAAAAGATAAACCATTTTTCGGTGAAGTAACAACGGGAATTACGAAATGCAATTCTTATTTCGCACTGCCTTACTGTCTTACTGTTAGCAAATGAAAAAATGTGCGTCAAAAAACGCGAAATAATTACTTGCATAGACAAAACTCTCTCTGAAATAACTCCAAAAAACCTTACTTCTTACACTATACTGCCTACTTTCATTGTAGACGACGGCCCTTTAAAGCGATAAACTATGTATCATTTTTAAATTAGATTTGATTTCCGTGCTCTTTATTTTATGTAATTATAACGTGATAGTAATTATACTGTATGCGGTTACGTTTCTCTTTTAATCTAATTTTACTAAATTCTCAATACGAGCGATAATATATATGCATATGTATATATATATATATATTTTGTATTGAGCAAATGCTCAAATACTGCATCAGACATTCTGAGGAACGTTATATGAAAGTCAGTCATTAAAAGAAATTTTCTGCAAAACAATCCATAACAATATCGTCGTTTGCATCTGCAGCTCCAATAATATAATATTATATTATAATACATTTTTAAGTTGTATTTCATATTATCGCTCGCGTGTCCCAGGCGAGATTTATTTCAATTCAAGATACTTTAACGTCGAAAATTTTCATCTATATCCTTCTGTGATTTTGATCGCGCGCTCGTGATTAATTATTTATGTTTACTCACCTGTCTATGTATCCGTCACCGTCGCCGTCGCATGCCTGGAACAGCTTTCGCACACGCTCCTCATCGCAAATCGAGCCCGTCTCACTTTCGGCATCAGCGGTCTGCGACATCTTCCTCTTGCTCACTGGAACTCGCATTCGGCCATCTCGCAACGAACGGTCATCGGTTTCCTCGCCGATTGCCTCGCGTCGTCGCCCACCTCGCGCCTCATTTGCGCCCCGATTGCTTTTCGCGAGCCGAATCTTAATTCGCGTCCGTGCGAGATCGATGCGACGCTCCTCTTCCCAGCTGCCGCCGACGCGCGTCTATCCCGCGACATGCGACGACGCGTGTCGCACGCACGGAAGATTCTGAGGAATCATTGCCGATTCTGACAATCGTGAATATCACACGAAATCGCGCCTCGCGTGAGAACGCGACGGGTCGTGATACAGTTGCTCCGAAATGCTGCGAAAAAAAAATATATATATTATGAAATAATTCCACGCGAATCGTTTTATATACTTGATGTAAAAATTAAGAGAATTTTATTTATCGCGAGAAATTTGAAAAAATCGATTATAAGAATAAAATAATAAATAATTCAAAATGTGAAACTACATGAAAAATGATTCGAGATCAGAAGATACACACAGGATTTCTTAGACCGAGACAAAATTCATGTTCCTATCGCACAAAATTATTTTAATATATCATGATGTCGTCTTATATGTATACTTACCCTGCAGTCACAACCACGATTGACCCTATTTCCCGATGGAAAGACTCGCGTAGACTCGCGCCGCTCGCGAAATCGGACATTCGATCGAACGACCCGAGCTCTCGTGTCAATGGCACGCGGGACTCGGGTTGCAAATCCGTCGGTCGCCAAAGAATATTCCGGTGCTCTGCGCAGACAGAAGACAAAACGGAGCCGCGAAAGAAAGTGGGAGGCAAGTATATCGTGGCACACGTTGCCGTGTCACGCGTTCCGGCCTCGTGACATCGGCGTGTCTCGTCTCCAAGATTCCAAAGAACCCCGATATCTCTCTTCCCGTCGGAATTTGTTAGTCGACGTGGTAGGCGCCGCCGCCGTCGTTCTATTTTTAGACGCGACGGATGCCCACCCGCGATCTCGTGTGCCGCCCGAAGCGCGTGATATAAACAGACCTGTCACGGAGTCGCGATGCCGCGTTATATGCTAGTCTCACTTATCTCGCACAGTGAACACAAGCGAATTACTATGACAGACGATAATTAGTTCGGTGCGTCGTTTCCGTTCGTCGACACTTCGTTGGCTCGACGCCTGAACGAGCAATGCCCGGCACTCTGACGCACCGAAAACTCCAACCGCTTTTCTGCATCCACCGCAGTTTCACCGAGTCACCAACCCTAACCTCAAAATCCGAAGTTGCACCGCCGAAACAAAGCCGCAAACGTGTACCATCTAGCGGTGAAACCGTAAAGACAAAATAATGTCGTAAGGTTTGTTCGCGTCTCATGTGCCCCAATATGCTCCTATTCGCTTCATTTTTTTCAATGACACTTTCATGAAACTTCAAAACTTTTTTTAACAAACTTTTTCAATAAAAAAAGTCGCACTCACAATCAGTGCGCACTAATGCAGACTACCGAATTCGCTGTTAGGGCGTGTTGGGGCGAGTAGGAGCATGTTGGGACATTTGCGACGCGAACAAACCTCGTAGTGACCGACGATAAAGAGCCTCCGCACAAACTCTTTTGTAGTGAGTTAAGTTACATTAAGTACCAGCCATAAACTTAGATTCGTACGTAACTTTAAACTTTAAGGGCCTTCTAAAATAAGATATTAGCAGAGAGAAGTCTGAGAACGGCCCACGGCCATACGAGTTTCTGCGATACCTTTTCGTAGGACATGGTTCTATTCCGTGCTAAGTTTGTGGACATGGTTCTATTCCGTGCTATGAAAACACCGCGTGGTGGGGATACGCACACCAAGCGAGACTAGACTACGCACCCTTCCGCGATCGCACACGGACAACAGTCTTGTTTGTATGATGTACATAGTATAGAAATATTCTATATATTATATTACGTAAATATATTATATATTACGTAAATATTTTATATATTATATTACTTATTATATATTATATATAAATATTTTTAGGAAAACCAAAACTAAAACTTAAACCCTTAAGCAGATGCGAGATGAGTACTACTTTCATCATGGCCTATGATCATACAAGCTACACCAGTTTAATTCGTGCAGTTCGTAAAGGAGAACTAGAAAGAGCAAAGGAGTTAATTAATTCTTTTGGACTATCTTATTCACAAGCATGGTCGGAAGGATATGTTTTACTTCGTGATGCTATTGAAAAAAACCATACAGATATTAGGAAACTACTTTTAACAAACGGTTCTAGAGTTAACAGCAAATTCAAAACCCCTTCTAATACTCCACTTTATTTTGCTGTTATAAATGGTGACATAGAAATTGTTAAGATGCTTTTTAACAGAGGTGCTACCATTGATGCTAAAATTCACCATGGCACAACTCCGCTTCACAATGCGATTGAAAATAAGAAAATGGAATTTACTAAATTACTTCTAAGTTATGGAACTAACATTGACGCCAGAAGCATTGAATTAAATGAAATTTATTTTTTATACACTCATGTTACTGTTCTAAACGTATATACATTACATACATAATTTTACTACGTATTATTTATTACCAAATAAATAATACTTTGCATATTTATATTACGTACACGTTACTATACAAATTAAAATCACAACGTCTTACACTGTATATCTGTTTAATAAATAGTTTTTGATTTAAAACATTTCACACATTTTTCGAACTAACCGTTAAACAATACACATATCACATAAAACTGTAGAAGTTATACATCTTCTAAAATTCTGTTTTTAATACAGTTATATACTTCCACGCTTTTAACTACGTCAAACTTAAACTTCATTGAAATTCTGGAACAAAATAAATATAGATGTATTATTTCATATTTTAATATTTATTAATATAACAAGTTGCAGAAAAAATTAAGATATATATTACACTTACTTTTGGAAAGCTTCTATTATTTCGGCACTTTTTTTAGTATTACATACAATGGCAGTTTTGCAGTTTTTAGGGTCAAACAATGGTCTGATGTATCGAATTGTCACACGGCTCATGTCACCTATACTAACGGCGTAAACGCTCCGTACCATTTGATAAATATAATTATGTGGCATATTTTTACAGTACGACGTCACCGATGCATTCATCACATTCTTTATGGAATCTATCATGTTGATATTCTTCAAGATGACTGACGATTTAGCTTTTTCGTAGAAATAGTACTTCCATTTGTTTTTACGAACATGTGCATCCTGCGACAAAAAAGGAACAATATGTACTGCCAAAAAAGTAACGATAAAGGCATTTCAAATTCTTGGACTTTCTTAAAGGATGTACGTATATATGTCAACATTTGCTAATAATCGCAATAGAAATAAAAATTGTACCACTATCGACTTAATTTTGTTGTACGCAGCTACTACGTTTGTAGTTGAAACCAACTTTAAAGTTAAGATCCCATCGTCCACCGTCGTGAAAAGATTGAAGTCAGCAAGCTCTTGTCGAAGTTCCCATAAAGGTCCCTACAAAATATCACACATACATGAAANTACTGTTTAATACATTTTCTGCAATTTTAATAAACAATTATTACGTGCTTACTTCTTCTTGCGTAAGATAAGTCAGACACACTTCCAAAGCTGGCAAATCGGAATGTTGAAAATCATTTATGCACGGACAAGATTGAAGTAAAACCGTAGTATCTGTTTCTACTACCTCCATAATATACCCGTTGTAAGTAAAACTAGTAGAAGGCGTACGAACGTTTGACATAGAAGTGATTTTAATCCTAAAATTGGAGTAGTTTAAATTAAACCTTTTACATTTGTATATATCACTTCTAGATGTAGTCTTGTGAGTTTTCCGTATCCGTGTCACTCTCGAATCAATGTAAGAACCGAATGAAATAAATGTACAGCTGTTAATTACTATAATAATTTATTACAACTGTTTTTTTTTTTAATTTAAATGGTTATACTTTATTTACTTCGTTTTCTCAAAGTTCATAAAATCTGCAAANTATTTAGTCCATGGGGCATAAACATCTGGAACATGTTCCGTTAATTTATCAACATTGACGCCCATGTACATAAACATATTTTTCGGCGAAGTCAGCGCTTGTCGAACAGATTCGATGTGTGCTAACACTTCTTTCTGCCCTACATCGGTATCTAGGCGTTTTTTGACATCATAGAAAAACTTATACTGCCACAACGGGCTGTATATAAGCTGGAGCTTGCCTGCCAAAAAAAAAAAACTAATAGTGATAGCAGTATGTGTATTTGTAATGGGAGTAGTAAGTAAAGTTTTGGCAAAGATACCGTCCGTGTATAACAATGTATCCATTAAAGTCATTGCAAATACTTCATCTTTTATGTTTCCATGTTTGTCTAGTAATCGTGTTAGTGCTATTTTTAAACTTTCGACCGTTACTATAGTTTCACATAAAAACTCTTTACAACACTGTACACTTTTTTCATAATTTTGTAATTCAACCTATACAAACAGTTAAGTGTATAAAATCTAGAATTTACATGTAGAATATATTTATGTCACACAATTTTGTTTCGAAAGGGAATAATGAGAAATTACTTCTATATTACCTGAATCAGTAAAGACAGAGTATGAGCATTGTGCGAAAAATCGATGCCACGAGGAGAGTGAACTTCTATATTATCATCAAGTAAAAAATCTTTTAGTTCTTCGTTAGAAATCAGTTGATTTCCTCTATTTACGGGAGATTCTAAAAGTACTTCCGCCAACAACGGAATATAAAGTTTATTTTCCAGACTAATAGAAGAAGTATCCATAATAACTTGTAACTGAAAATGAAATAAAGAAATAATTAGCATAAATATAATGGTAGCATAAATATAATAAAAAAATAAATAATTAAACATAAAGATAATATATATAAGTTTAGCATAAATATAATAAATGTAATTTATTTACTATTAATAATAACAAAAGTACATGTAAATATTTTGAGTATTGGAAATGAAATAAATACACTCTAATTTATATAAGAGAAACATAACTGCACACTACGCGAAAGTTTTAACGGTTATAGGAGAACTACAAATATGTATACATATATATTTATGTAGTACAGAACAAACACTTTGTTAAGCTTTTATAACCATCCAACATTTTGCGTAATTAATAACCATAAAGTCTTAATTGTTAAATCTTAATTATCAAACACATAAATTGTAACAACGTAAAGCAATATATAACTTGGTGCAAAACGATACCGATACGAACAAAAACGATACTCACATAAAAGAAATTTGTATTGACATGATCTAAATAGATAAAAAATGGCAGTCTTTTAACATCGAATTTAGGATGTTGCTCGAGCGTTTCCGTGTTATATCTCTGAATGTCATGAAAAGTGATTGATTCTATGCCAGGTATAATCATTTTTGCCCATACTTCTTTAGGCACATCTTTCTTAAAAGATGAAAAAATCGAAGAGATTGGTAAAAGTGTCAATATATAAAATATTTAGTGTATTTATAATATAATATAATTTGTAGCATGTAAAAAAATATTTAAGTATACAAATATATATACTTTTACTTCTTTGATAGCCTGCTTAAGCTTTTTTTCTTTTTGCTTTAAACCTTTTTGGCCGAAGTTTGTGTTTTGCTCGGTTACATGTTTTTCTTCTTCTTTCAACTTAAAATACTCGTCGAAACTAGGTTTGCCTGTCACGATAACCATCGGTGCATCGATAAAATAATGTTTAAGTAGATCTAAAAAATGCTGGTCAGGCTCGTTTACCAACTTTTCTATTTCGCGTAGAATATTCTTTAACCGTTGTTCTAACTAAATGTAAAAAAAAATTTTAAAGTACTTATGTAAGTAAAATAATTCAGGTAAAAGTTTTAAGTAATGTAAAAATACCATACATACATTATCAATATTCTCGTATACTAAATATTGAAAAAGACAGTGTGAGATGTATTTATGCGGATTTAGTTCAAATTCATTTCGGTAGTTAATCAATGATTTGCGAATTAAACTTTTCATTATTTTCATATTTATACCATTGGTATATACTTCCGTAAATACCTTATGAATAGACTCTTTTGTGATCAAATCAATTTGGTTTATTGGTACGTTTTCAAAAATAATATCCAAAAATGGAACTGACCATTTAAACGAAAACCACGTAATACGACATTGATCACTAAATTCACCAAAAATTGTCCTTAACGGACTATTGTTTGTTTGCGCGATATATTCTAAAAGTGCTAGACAAGTGGTATAGTCGTACTCCTGAGTAATTGCTGACGGTCCCCGCCAAGCAACATGTACTTGGCCATATGTTTTGTCCATGGATGGAAAAATGACTTCCACTTCTGCGCTTTTCTTGAATGATTCAATTGGATTTTGCCAAGGTCTCTCAAATATATCATTTCTTTTCTACAATTGTACAATAAACTTAAATTTTACGAAAGTAATAGAAAACTGAGTACATAGGTGTGCTTTTGTAAAACAAAATACAGAGTAAGTGCGACAACACGCAATTTGTTTTGGGATGCATATACCTTCGACATTATTTTCTGTTCTAAAGGCACTAACGCTTGAAAAATTTGACTGTGGTTTATGTTACCCGTTATCAATATAGTCAAGTTTTCTGGCCTGTAGAACTTTCTGTGAAACTGTTTGACTTTTTCATTAGTAGTACTTTCGCGCAAATTTTTTGTTGTACCTATAAATACAAATAAAAATATTTTCCACGTACGTTTTCAATTTGAAATATACATATATATACAGGGTGATTTAGAACAATTCGGTATCCTTGGAAATACATATTCTTGACTAAATTCTAAGACAACGTTTTATCTGGCAAAATGTTGTCAGAAGCTTAACTTTTGAGTTCGTAATAAAAAAAGCTGATCGCTACGCACTGTTTCTGTATCGTTTTCTCTTTCTCTTTCTCTCTCTCTTTTTTTTCTCTTATTTATTTCCTCATTCGTAAGTTGTATCATTTAATCCGTGCATCACATAAATCACTGTCAATCACGGTGAGTTGCGCCGCGCTTGCCTAATTCTTGGATCTGACTCATAGTACGCCAACTAGTTTTGTTAGTAACTCAAAAAGTAAGCTTCAGACAAAAGTTTTTCAAATAAAATGTTGTATTAGGATTTAGTCAAGAATATGTATTTTCAAGAATAACGAGTTGTTCTAAATTACCCTGTATATACACACACAAACAGAAGTTGTTAGAACAATTTTTTACCTGCTAGAAGTGACTTATATCCACATTTTCCTGGATAGAGAACTCCTAACATTTTTTTATGTAATACAAAATTTGCTGTACGTTCCTTAGCCTGGGTTTTACAATAAACTGTACCGGCATTGTGGCCTTTTCCAGTAATATGATGTACTTCTACAAGATATGCTGTATCCTAGCGAAACGTTCAAAAATAAATAGTTTTATAATTGTAAAACTTTTTATTTGCAGTTTAAGAAAATAATAAATATTGTTTTTTTGTATCTTTCAAACAATAATATAAAGTATGATAACATAAAGAAAGTCATATATTATTTAACTTTATCGTTGCGACAAAATATAGTGCAAAGCATGCATGACAAACGAAACATTTTACTGTGCAAATTATTAAGTTTTTGTAGAAAGTATAATACGTGGGGAAAGAAATTGCAGAACCACAAGATTGTAATATGAACACCGATAAAGTATAGTAACCACATATATTTTTTTACCGAAATATTCTAAATACATCTCATAATTTCGCTTACATAAATAATAAAAAAAATGTTATATCATAATTCTTTAACATTGAAATCAATTTTATATTGATTTAAAATTTCATCATTTATTTCTTTAAGTTAAGATAAAATAAAAAATGTATAGTAAAGTTCTATTGTGTTACTAGAAAAGTTTGCAAATCATGTATCGGTGTAGATCTATTCGTGAATTGGTAAATGTTGCGTTACCGGTTGTTTTTTTCAAAGAATGTAAATACTGTTATGAAAACACACACAGCAAAATAGCTTAAATATGTTGTTGACTTTCTTGACTTTTATCATATTATTGTTATCATGATATAACGTTACTTTGAAAATGTTACGATTTAAGTGAGTGTAGATACACATTAAATTTTTATACAAGTAACGAAACATATTGTAGGAAAAAATAAGTCTGATATTATTCTCTGATTTTAGGTTTCTTAACTTGTTTGATAATTGAGTACAAAAACAAGTATTATTTGTCATTCACAATAGTTTGCATCTTTTCGTTTTATACACTTAAACAAAGAATTAAGGAATGTTGTACCTCTAAAGTAGGGTAAAGTATGTGGTTTAGATATGTTGGCATTAAAGTAAGAAATGCTTCGCTACCAGCTGCTCTCATAGAAAAACAAGTGTGAGTTTGGAGACCAAATGCTTTAATGTTATCTGATAGTATTCTATCACCCCATACTTGCAAAATATTATTGTAAGGGTAATCGTCGCTGCCCATGAAAATAAGATGCTCCATTGCGAAAGGAAGACCATCGTTATCAAATGTTTCTGTCACTGATACGAAATACAATAGTAAAAACTCAAAGTATTTGTAATGTTTATACTTGTTCAAAAATATTACGTAAAAACTGAAGGTTTGTTTTACAAAATGAAGTTTCGTGTCAAAATGAAAGAATCTTCAATAATAAATACTAAGATCAATTATATATACGTATGTGTAATAATGCATGTTAATACAGTACCAATATTAACATCTCCATTGATAAATGGACCGTGTGTTTCTGCAATACATACAGTGATGCCGGTGTTTTTGGATCTGTATGCATAAAATGGAATACTACCGTCGATGTTTATTGAGTATAACCGTTCGAAGTTTTCTGTATTATCTGACAAATGTTCTTCACCACACGACATTTTATTAAAAACGAATTTCGTGTAAAACTAATATTCAAGTATCTTAAATTGTAACTATAGACCAGTGACTGGTGTACGTGGCAACTTGTCGGACAATGCTTACTTTTTATGCACAAACAGAACTTTCGCAGGTAAGGTACACGATAGATATATTTTCGTAATATACAAATCCGTACATTGTAAGCTGGTATTTATAGTATACGTAAAACTGACGTAAGTTTCTTTTGAAATAATAGACGTTTCATTGGTTGCAAAAATGACCAATCGGAACATAAGCTTAAGACAACTTTAGATATAAGATTCGACTATGAATACCAGTCGTAATACGACAGAAAAAAGTACTTTTATTAAGAATAGTTAGATTTTAAGACCGAAGAACAGACTTTTGCCTAACGCATACCGCATAAAACGTAAGAAAATTAATTAATCCAGCTTTGTGTTTTCATTTCTACTTCTTGTTCTAGAAAGCTTTGATTGGTTGATTCTCTTATGTCTTATGCGTTATGCATTATGGCTAGTGCCAATAATCCACAAGTAATGATGGTTTCATTTACTAACATGAAATCGATTTAGGAATAGAATGTTTCGTTGGTAGAACAAAAAGTGCTGCACCGTAACACGTTCGTTTTTGCGGTGTATGGTGAAACATTGACTTTTACGGCATTTTGAGTTCTTTAAGGTTTTAATTAGTTGTTTTATTTCAACTGTAATTCACTATGCACTTTTTATTATTTTGCCAATTATCACTCAGCGGTATATAAATGCCGAATTAAAAGATACAATTTCGAATAAAACTATGTTATTCTATATGACTGCATTTGTACTATTCTTTGTCGCTTTTACGAAAAGATGTAAAAGTATAGAAAATGTTGAACGTCGCAAAGCCAATACAATTTACAAATTATGTAGAAAAAATGACGGTTTCTTTATTTAAAGCTGCAACAAGCAATGTTACGTCTATATAATGCAAAGATTGAAACAAAATTGCTCACGGATGCGTTTGTATATGGATGCAATGTAATTTTGTTGNAGCGTTATAGCAAAATTGACTTATAGCGTCTGGCACATTGAGGTAGCGACACAACAACTTCCGAGAACATACTCTAGGTATGAAATAGAGGGATGCGTGCTGTTATCAAGACATATAATTTTCTATCTGTATAATGAAGATTTTAGTCTTTATAGAAAATTGATCTGTCCACGTTTTACATTTTATTTTTCACAATTTTATTTTTATCTACATCGGACAAAAACGAACTTCATTGAACAGAATCTACCATAACACGTTTAAAGTTTATTTTAATCAAACTGGTTGTGTTTAAACTACCAAATAGACGTAATTCGATAAAAGCTACTACACATGTTTAAAGTGGAATTTAGACAAACAATTTATTTTTTCCGAATTAGAAACATGATTTCGCGGTGTTAATAATAAAATGTGCNANAGGTTAAAAATATTCAAAAATATATACCACTAAAAGCGTTACTATCCGCAGAACAAAATTTATTTTTTATCCAATCATGTTACTGTTCTAAACGTATATACATTACATACAAAATTTACTACATATTATTTATTACAAAATAAATAATATTATGCATATTTACTATTACATACTCGTTACTATAAAACTTAAAGTCATAACATANGTCTTACATTGTGTATCTGTTTAATAAATAGTTTTTGATTTAAAACAGTTTTACACATTTTTCGAACTAACCGTCAAACAATACACATATCACATAAAACTGTAAAAGTTATACATCTTTTAAAATTCTGCTTTTAATACAGTTATATACTTCATTGGAGCTTTTATATACGGCAAACTTAAACTTCATTCTGGAACAAAATAAATACAGATGTATTATGTATATTTTACTATTTCTTAATATAGCAAGTTGCAAAAACTTAAGATTTATATTACACTTACTTTTCGAAAGCCTCAATTATTTCGGCACTTCTTTTAGTATTACATACAATGGCAATTTTGCAGTTTTTAGGGTCAAACAATGGTTTGATGTATCGAGTTGTCACACGGCTCATGTCATCTATACTAACAGCGTAAACGCTCTGTACCATTTGATAAATATAATCATGTGGCATACTTTTACAGTACGACGTCACCGATGCAATCATCACATTCTTTATGGAATGTACCATGTTGATATACTCCGAGATGAGTGACGATTTAGCTTTTTCGTAAAAATGGAAGATAAATTTGTTTTTACGAACGTGTGCATCCTGCGACAAAAAAGGAACAATATGTACTGCCAAAAAAGTAACGATAAAAACAATTTAAATTCTTGGACTTTCTTAAAGGATGTACGTATATATGTCGACATTTGCTAATAATCGCAATAGAAATAAATATTGTACCACTGTGGATTTAATTTTGTTGTACGCAGCTACTACGTTTGTAGTTGAAACCAACTTTAAAGTTAAGGTCCCATCGTCCACCGTCGTGAAAAGATTGAAGTCAGCAAGCTCTTGTCGAAGTTCCCATAAAGGTCCCTACAAAATATCACACATACATGAAACTACTGTTTAATAGATTTTCTGCAAGTGTAATAAACGATTATTACGTGCTTACTTCTTCTTGCGTAAGATAAGTCAGACACACTTGCAAAGCTGGCAAATCGGAATGTTGAAAATCATTTATGCACGGACAAGATTGAATTAAAACCGTAGTATTTGTTTCAACTACCTCCCTTATATACCCGTTGTAAGTAAAACTAGGAGAAGGCGTACGGAAGTTTGACTTAGAAGTGATGTTACTCCTGAAATTGGAGTAGTAGAAATTAAATCTTTTACATTTGTATGTATCACTTCTAGATCTAGTCGTGTGAGTTTTATTATTTGTGTCAATCACAAATCAATGTAAGAATCGAATGAAATAAACATACAGCTGGTTACTACTATAATAATTTCTCACAACTGTTTGGTTTAAATGTAAATGTTTATATTTCATTTACTTCGTTTTCTCAAAGTTTATAAAATCTGCAAAATATTTAGTCCATGGGGCATAAACATCTGNAACATGTTCCGTTAATTTATCAACATTGACGCCCATGTACATAAACATATTTGTCGGCGAAGTCAGCGCTTTTCGAACAGATTCGATGTGTGCTAACACTTCTTTCTGCCCTACATCGGTATCTAGGCGTTTCTTGACATCATAGAAAAACTTATACTGCCACAACGGGCTGTATATAACCTGGAAATTGCCTGCCAAAAAAAAAAAACTAATAGTGATAGCAGTATGTGTAGTTGTAATGGGAGTAGTAAGTAAAGTCTCTGCAGAGGTACCGTCCGTGTATAACAATGTATGCAATAAAGTCATTGCAGTTATTTCATTTTTTACGTATGCATTTTTGTCTAGTAATCGTGTTAGTGCTATTTTTAAACTTTCGACCGTTACTATAGTTTCACATAAAAACTCTTTACAACACTGTACACTTTTTTCATAATTTTGTAATTCAACCTATACAAACAGTTAAGTGTATAAAATNTAGAATTTACATGTAGAATATATTTATTTCACACAATTTTGTTTNGGTAGGAAATAATGAGAAACTATTTCTATATTACCCGAATCATTAAAGACAGAGTATGTGCGATTTCGTGCGAAAAATCAATGCCACATGGAGAGTGAACTACTATATTATCAGCAAGTAACAAATCTTTTAGTTTTTCGTTAGAAATCAGTTGATTTTCTCTATTTACGGGAGATTCTAAAAGTACTTCCGCCAACAACGGAATATAAAGTTTATTTTCCAGACTAATAAAAGAAGTATCCATAATAACTTGTAACTAAAAATGTGAAATAAAGAAATATTTAGCATAAATATAATGGTAGCATAAATATAATAAAAAAATAAATAATTAAACATAAAGATAATATATATAAGTTTAGCATAAATATAATAAATGTAATTTATTTACTATTAATAATAATAAAAGTACATGTAGATATTTTGAGTATTGGAAATGAAATAAATACACTCTAATTTATATAAGAGAAACATAACTNCANANTACNCGAAANTTTTAACGGTTATAGGAGNANTACAAATATGTATACATATNNATTTATGTAGTACAGAACAAACACTTTGTTAAGCTTTTATNACCATCCAACNTTTTGCGTAATTAATAACCATAAAGTCTTAATTGTTAAATCTTAATTATCAAACACATAAATTGTAACAANGTAAANCAATATATAACTTGGTGCAAAACGATACCGATACGAACAAAAACGATACTCACATAAAAGAAATTTGTATTGACATGATCTAAATAGGTAAANAATGGCAGTCTTTTAACATCNAATTTAGGATGTTGCTCGAGCGTTTNCGTGTTATATCTCNGAATGTCATGAAAAGTGATTGATTCTNTGNCAGGTNNAANCATTTTTNCCCNTACTTCTTTAGGCACANNTTTCTTAAAAGATGAAAAANTCGAAGAGATTGGTAANAGTGTCAATATATNAAANATTTAGTGTATNTATAATATAATATAATNTGTANCATGTAAAAAAANATTNAAGTATACAAATATATATACNTTTANTTNTTNGATAGCNTGNTNAAGCTNTTTNTCTTTNTGCTTTAANCNTTTTNGGCCGNANTTTGTGNTTTGNNCGGTTACATGTTTTTCTTCTTCTTTCAACTTAAAATACTCGTCGAAACTAGGTTTGCCTGTCACGATAACCATCGGTGCATCGATAAAATAATGTTTAAGTAGATCTAAAAAATGTTGGTCAGGCTCGTTTAACAAGTTTTCTTTTTCGCGTAGAATATTCTTGAACCGTTGTTCTAACTAAATGTAAAAAAAAAATTTTACTTTACTTATGTAAGTAAAATATTTCAAGTAAAAGTTTTCAGTAATGTAAAGATACCATACATACATTTTCAATATTCTCGCATACTACATAATGAAAAAGAAAGTGTGAGATGAATTCATGCGGAGTTAGTTCAATTTCATTTCGGTCGGCAATCAATGATTTGCGAAGTAAGCTTGTCATTGTTTTCATATTTATACCATTGGTATATACCGTTTTAAGTACATTATGCATAGACTCTTTTGTGATCAAATGAATTTTGCTTATTGGTACGTTTTCAAAAAAAATCTCCAAATATGGAACTGACCATTTAGACGAAAACCACGTAATACGACATTGATCACTAAATTCATTAAAGATTGTTCTTAACGGACTATCGTTTGTTTCCGCGATATAGTTTAAAAGTGCTAGACATGTGGTATAGTCGTACACTTGNNTAATTGCTGACGGTCCCNGCCAANCAACATGTACTTGGCCATAGTTTTCGTCCATGGATGGAAAAATGACTTTCACTTCTGCGCTTTTCTTGAATGATTCAATTGGATTTTGCCAAGGTCTCTCAAATATATCATTTCTTTTCTACAATTGTGCAATAAACTTAAATTTTACGAAAGTAATAGAAAACTGAGTACATAGGTGTGCTTTTGTAAAACAAAATACAGAGTAAGTGCGACAACACGCAATTTGTTTTGGGATGCATATACCTTCGACATTATTTTCNGTTCTAAAGGCANTAANGCTTNAAAAATNTGACTGTGGTNTATNTTNCCCGTTATCAATATAGTCAAGTTTTCTGGCCTGTAGAACTTTCTGTGAAACTGTTTGACTTTTTCATTAGTAGTACTTTCGCGCAAATTTTTTGTTGTACCTATAAATACAAATAAAAATATTTTCCACGTACGTTTTCAATTTGAAATATACATATATATACAGGGTGATTTAGAACAATTCGGTATCCTTGGAAATACATATTCTTGACTAAATTCTANGACAACGTTTTATCTGGCAAAATNTTGTCAGAAGCTTAACTTTTGAGTTNGTAATAAAANNAGCTGATCGCTACGCACTGTTTCTGTATCNTTTTCTCTTTCTCTTTCTNTCTCTCTTTTTTTTCTCTNATTTATTTNCTCATTCGTAAGTTGTATCATTTAATCCGTGCATCACATAAATCACTGTCAATCACGGTGAGTTGCGCCGCGCTTGCCTAATTCTTGGATCTGACTCATAGTACGCCAACTA